CCACCCACGCCACCCCCCCCACCCCCAAGGAATTTTTGCAGATGACTGCATATTAAAGTTTTATCTATCACACTTAGGTTATCTTAATGAAAAAGAAGAGATAACAAAAAAAGAACTTTGCCATATTAATGCCATATTTAAACAGAAATTTTAAGAGCAACAGGTTTGCCTATTTTGAAGTTGTGGGGAAGAAAAAAAACAGTAATGGCCACCTGAACAGCAGATTGATTTAGCATCTTACTGTAAAACTTTTAAATGAAAAAGACATTAACAAGTAAGCTACATAATAAAGTACGATTACATGTAAATATAAATACCACATGAACTCTTAAAACACATTAACTATTACTCCCAGGGACAAGGTTTTCTCTCCTACACCTAAACCTTTATCCACAACAGAAGAAAAAAAGGAAATGTGTCTTTTTTGAACTAACTTAACAGTTGTGTTCTCCAGCTGCTATAAAATAGAGCACAGATCTTCATAGTCGCAACTCTGCAGTAACCAAGTCAAGAGGATATTCATCATTGGCTTTAGTCAACTGCACATTGACCAAGTATATGCTTTGTATGTGAAAGCCATAATAAAACATTTAATAAAAGCACTAGTGGAGAAATAGCTGTCATTTTTATATTTGAAGGATATAATCACTACCTGCGATATTACAATTCCTTGTTGCTAGACTGTAGGTTTAAAACAGCTTTTGGAGTCTTATCTTTGGCAATTTCTGGTTTATACACAGACAAAGTATCTCAGGAATAAAAAAAATCCCGTAAATTAGTGTAAGAATTTTCTTTTTGCAATACTTCATTTTTAGAAAGAATACAGATTCACAGCATTACCATTATATGGGCTTCCTGCAATCAGTAAAAAGGAAATGGCACTCAGTGCACACTTGAAAAAAATTCACAAAATTGCACTAGCTGTAGGATAAAAGTAAAGAAACAGCTTTTCTTTCAACAGCTTACTCCATTACATTCACTGTTGCTATAGAACACCAAGTTACTTATGCTATAGCACACACATATGGAGCTGCTTATAAATGTACATAAAGTGAGCGTAACAGAGCAGGCTACCGAAATGCTAGGAATTTTGAGGCTTTTAACATGCATTTAAGGCTATCTTGTCCTGTTTGTTACAAAGATTTGAGATAAGCTATAGATACATCAGGGAATTCTGGGGGGAGGAGGCGTGTGTTTATTTTCAGTGCATCCAGTTTGCTGATGCAAAATGATGTGCTTTCCCCTAGTCTAGCAGAAGAAACTCAGGAGACCAAACACTACATCTCAGCTTGGCTACTGGAAAACGAGAATAAGCACTACAATGGACATAAAAACTGCAAAATCATGGGATAGGCAAGTGACATAAGGTACATCTACATGGCCAGTCCAGCACAACCTAGATCCAGAGGCTGCATTCAAGCTATGCCTGAGATGGTGCTCCTAAGTTTGCTCTCTCCCTAGCATGCACATGACATCTTCAAGCAGTTTTGCTAACTTTTTATTACACACAGCATAGATACACCTTAATGTTAACAAAAACCAAACTGGCAGAAGAGGAGGGAACTACAAGAAGATAGAGCCACATTGCTGCATATTCCACAAAAGCTGAACAGGACAAGGTGAAAACAAAAAGCAAAGAACATGAACTATATCAATATGTGTAGTTCAGAACCTAACACTTACAAATAATGCTCTTGTTAATCACAGGCAGGAAGCCCTTTCTCCGAACTCAAGAATAATTAATAAGAAAAAAACCAAATCCTAAAAGCCCAGCGACTTGAAGATTAGATTCTGTAAATATAGCTAGGTGTTATATTTAATCCAAGAGTTTACATGCATATAACTTCATTAGAGATTATATGAAAACAATCTGAAAAGTTACATAAAAATATCGGTTGTACATACTCAAATAATACTAATTTTCCATGAAGGACATTCCTTATAATAACAGGACTCAGTCTTACAGACCTTTTCTCCCACAGGCTCTCACCTACAGTTGACTCTTCTGAACTAAATGTCACATAGGATGGGATTCATCTGTTCAGATGCAGACACCTACACATAAGCTGGTCATTTTGACTCTGCGAATAGTCAATGAAGGTGAACAGGCTCTTGTAGGGTGTGATTAGTCTCAAAGCAAATGGCTAAAAATGGCAGATGAATCACACTCTAAAAGTATCCCCTCTTCACTAACAGGAGAGTAGAGAGATTAGTTCAGAGTGTATATTCTCTATATTGTGTGCAACAGGGTATATTCTATTTGTTTAGCTAAGATCAATCCTATTTAGAGCGAAATGATCATAGTATAGAAAAATAATTAATTTATACTAATTTAAAATTAATTTACTATTCTCACTTTGTAAATTTTAATTACTCCATATTTTTTTAGCAGAATTTAAACTGAGAAAAAGGGGGTGGGAAAATCAAAATTTTGACTCCTGAATATCTGGTCATTCTAACTCTACAGATGTACAGGCTAGCTTAGACAATGAACAGAAAGCTAATTACCAAGTACTTCTGTGCACAAACTAGTTTTACACCGCTTGTCTTGATCTTTCTTTTTTATTTTCTACCTTTCAAACTGAACCATAAGAGTGAAAAATTAAAGTAAATATGCTTGTTTTGGAGGGCATTAACATATGTATGTAAAACAAAACACATTCTCATTTGTCCTTTTTAACTCTAGTAGTTGCACTTAACATAGCCTTCAAAGTCTGTTTTGAATAAGCTAGCTATAAAATATGAAGTTTGACAGACACGCTCTAGAAACAATTGCTGAAGAAAGGAAAAAAAAAAGAAAGACCGTGCTTTTAATAATGCCACAATGCTCAAAATTTTTTTTTTGTATAACATCTAATAGAAACAATTACTTCTCATAGTTAATGCTGTCTCAAATTTTCTTAGCTAAAGGTAGCCAACGTCATTACTTGTCAACCATGTTTTCAAAGAGTATCTGGAAAAGATAGTGATATTTTAACCATACTGAGAATTATACTTTTCAGATAAGTGTTATGTTACTAAATTCCTCTGTATCACTTTCGTAAGTGGAAGAATGTTTATTGCTTACCTATTTTGAGACAGTAAAAGAATCTGCAATAGAGGCAACCAATACAAAGAAAGCATTCTCATAGCAGAAATGCTATTGTCGTCCAAATAAAGCTCTCTTAGTAGAACATGATTTTCCAGTCTTGGAAGCTAAATACAAAAGAGATGGTTATTTAAAATTAATATAAATTAGAGAAACAATGGAATGCTTACCAGATGCTTTTCATAAATCATTACTCAATACAAGCAAAACCCACATTTTGGATACATGTATCATTTCCTTATTATATATGTACCGGTTGTCACAAAAAAATTCTACGTATCAGGTTGTAAGTATTTTTAAATATATTCTACCTATCTGAATAGTTAATATAAAAAACCAAACCAAACCAAAAAAATACAAGAGCCCAAGGCCACAGCCTTACTGTTTTATTCATGCAGTTATTTGCTTCTTGTTGACAATGCTTTTCCTCTCGGATTCATAAGAGAGCCATTGTCAGTAAATATGACTAAGTGTACAGTTAGCAAACTACTTTCCTATTTTAAATTCTGTGGCACAAACTTCAACTTTCAGAGGATCAGCATACATCAATCAGCCTGAACTACTACTTATACGTAATGATTAATATTTTGATACAATTTAAACAAAGAATCTGCATCATATAATAAAAACTGACAACTAGATGCTATAAACAAAGGAGGGAAACACAATTACTGAAAGGCTGATTTTTCAAGGACTTAGGAGCAAGAAAATACTTCACTGCTAGCCATTTGTAGCTTTGAAAAATCTCCCTCTAATAGGGGGAAAAAAAGCCTATCCAAGAGCATGAAACATCCCACAGCAAACAAAGAGCACATGATCGCATTCTTAAAAATAGGACTGTTAACAAAGGTGTATGCACAACAGCCACTGAAGTCAAAGCTTTTACCTCCTGGAGGTTATTGCCTTGCAACTTCAGAATTTGAAGTAGGCCACAATTCTCAATGCCTTCAACTTGTGTGAGATGATTAAAAGAGCAGTCTAGGTGAATGAGAGTAGGTGCCTCACAAAGACCTTTGGTGCTGATTAACTGATTATGGTCCACAATTAATTGCTGAAGGTTTTTCAGTGACTCCAGACCACCTGAAAATTAAAGATTTTCGCTGAATTAAGCCAAAATGAAACAAAAACCTGTTGGTTTTCAAGTACTAAGAAAACCCTGAACTTTCTATATATTTATATTATCTATAGCAACAAGTAATATTAGTCCTGTATGAGGTTTAAAAATAATTACTGTATTTTGACCTTATCAAATATACAAAACATACAGTTCACAAATATCTGATCCTGTTAACCAAGTAATAATAACAGTTCATAACCCCTTTAGCACTTCTGTTGTTGCAGAACATTCTTTTAGTGATAAACTATACTTACTATGCTTTAAGCACTTTATAACTGCTGCTCAGAACATATGGGCTCTGTGAAATGCTAACAGCCCTCTAAAAATCACCCCTCAAAATGAAACAGTATTTATGTCTAAAAGTTAATTTTCATTATTTCATTTTTAAAAAGCAAAGTGAGAACAAATTGTGTTAAAACTTAGGCCAGCACCACCTCTATTATTTAAGTGCATCTTTTTTAAGGAACTATATCATCAAATATTTTTAATGAAGAAATTTGTAAAGAAAATTTAGTGCCTTTAAGTACAAAGCTATACTTCTATAGCCATTACACTCTCAACAAACTCACTTCTGCCAGCTAGTGTAAAGAGCAAGAATGTGTGAAATCTCTACCCCAAAAAGATACAAAGGAAAATGTTCCTGTCAGCATCTATTTCTTTGACAGAATTTTCCCCAAACCATTCTCTTACAACGGCAAAAATCACAGTCTCTCCGCAGTCATACATATGCTAGCTGTTCCGCAACGGCACTGATACATCTGACTTGCTACAGATCCAGGCAATTTTTCTGTACCTCTAGTACAACTCCTTTGAAGAGACGCCCTTTACAAAACATACCTAAATAAGGGATTTATGAATTTACTTTTCTGTCACGTATTCTTCCCAGGATTATTTGAAGTAATACATCGTCTCCTCTTTATCTCATCAAGTTCCCAAAAGGAAGTTGGGTGAGCTTTACAGAAGTGAATGTTTTTATGATTGTCCTCCAAGAATAAGCTGGATTTTGAGACCAGAGCCCAGTTTGCACCATAGATTATTGAGAATACAGAAAAGGAATTAAAAAAGAAAATGAACAATACAGAGAAAGCAGAAGCAAAAAAATTAAATGTCAAAACTAGCAGTACAGTTAAAAAAACCCAATCAAATATAGGCCTTTGAATCATAGTAATTTAAAAATGGACAGCACCTAGTGGAAAGAACACAATTGCCTGATATTAAAGAGATATCATCCTAAATCTAAACCAAATGTTCCATATTGTAACTTCAAAACTGTGCTTTAGGAAATAAATATAGAAACTTTTAATTACGCTGAAAGAATTTCAAACATGCCCATGACATACTATCCTGACAGCAAGATCCTGGTCTGTATTTTTTTAATGCTTGGATAAAAATGAGAAAGGAACCAGCACCATCTAGTGGTCCCAAAACAATTTCGTTTTAACAGCTCCCAAGACTTCCTCACAAAAACACTTCTTAAATCTGCACTTTTAAGTTATCAGCATAGCAGCACTGGAAACATTAAAAGCACTGAATTAGTCTGGAGGGGGACAGCAAGGAAAGACTGCACACACAGTAAGAAAAGGCAAGGAGTTAATACAGGATCTGGAAATTTCCTATTCTGCATGCTGCAAAAAGCACCTTTTTTACATCTTCTTCTCCTCATCTGTCTTGTTTAATTAGACCAAATGTCATTTGGGACAGACACGCCAAGGCTACACACAATGGGATCACAATCTATTCTGGAACCATCAAATGCAGACCAACAGAAACATACCCAAGAGTAACAATGTAATACAAACAGATGGTACTTTAATGTTTCTTCCACATGCATGCAAAATTAAAAATGAGCATGAGAGTTTTCACCACATTTTTGGGAAGATATTGTCTGTTTTACATATGATACAACCAACAGCTATAACAGTATATGGGAAAATGTATTCTGTTGAAAAACATATGGTTTCAGCAAGATTTGTGGAGAACCTTTATACAAGTAGCTCTTAGCAGTTTGCAAATGCGGCTGGAGTCTGTTAGTTAGGGGCTCTATCTTAGCTATCAGTGCAGTTCTGAAGTAAATTCCATGTGTTAAAGGCAACGGGCACAAACTGCGGCACAGGAAGTTCCACCTGAACATGAGGAAAAACTTCTTCCCTTTGAGGGTGGCAGAGCACTGGAACAGGCTGCTCAGGGAGGCTGTGGAGCCTCCTTCTCTGGAGATATTCAAAACCCGTCTAGATGTGGTCCTGGGCAACCTGCTCTCGGTGAACCTGCTTCAGCAGGGGGGTTGGACTAGATGATCCCCAGAGGTCCCTTCCAACCCCTACTGTTCTGTAATTCTGTGTGACAAAGACGGTTGATAAGAGAGAAGCAAAAGCTAACAGTGAACATGACGATGATAAAACACATACCATCCCCCCACCAAAAAAACCCTGAAAGGTATCTGGTAAAAACACACTCCATGTGCTTTCTTAAAAAGAGTAGGTCCAAAGGAGTGTTTATGACTATCCACAGTTATGCATTGACAATCTTAGCACCACCAGGATTTCAGCCAATGTACTATGGCAATATATACACCCTACAAAATAATATTCTGCGACTCAAGTCAAAATGCTAGTTTTTGTGTAAGAAAATTTTTAAGCAAAGCATTCCTCTTCCAAATACAAACATATGTGCTGAACTTCAGTGTATTACTGACACAATAACTTAATTTGTGATCATGCATTCTTAAGTGGAAAAGCATAATTGAGACCTATTTCTCATGGTTTTACTGTTATTTTTAAGGGGTTTCTGGCAACTGTAATTTTTCCTCTACTGATGCTGTATTTCAATGAGGGAAGAAAAAAAGAAAAAAGAAATCATTGTATTCCTGAAGGTTTCTACAATAAGTTATTAAAACGGAAGTATTACAAACATAAATAAGCTTTACATCTTAGGAAAAAGCCCACAGCCTTTGTTAAAGCTGAAAGAAAAGAGAACATTGTACAGTACTGCAGCTTCCAAAACTGCTAAGGGACATCCTGCAAGATTTACAGATGGGAGGGATACATTAACTTCTTAAAATCCACAAATCCATTTTTGTGTATTCTATGTGACTACTTACAACCAATATGTTATTGTGTGAAATAAATTCTACATGACGCATCTGTTTTAACCAGACATCCTCAAAGCAATTCTGGAGAAGAGCAAGACAGATTCCAAGCTGATTTTTGTGAACATTTATTTAACCACTCAAATTCACTCAGTAAACGTAGCAGTACACTGCACAAAACAGAATGTACAAGAGGATTTTACTCCACTTGGCCTGTACAAAGATATTACATTCCACACAGATGCCACATTCCTAAATGTCATCCACTAATACTGTATAATTCTTAAAGTAATCTTGCAGACATTTTTACCAAATGAGATAAATCTGAATAAGAATTTTATCCAGCATTATTCTCCACAAGGATATAGATGAAGCTTCTTTAACCAGTTTATTTTATTGTTTCTCATTAGGGAACTGAAATGCTTTTACAGTAAACATGGATATTGCAGCACCTTTACTCTCAGGTATTACAAACTCTGTTCACAAATACTAACATTTCAAATCTGCACATACGAGCAAAATATATTAGAAATACCAACACTAAACCCTCTAAATCTACAGATTTTTTTTTAAGCTTTCCCATTTTCCTGTTTGCTATGCCCTTGATATTTATCACAGAATTGCATTATCCATGTTCATACAGTTTCAGTCTCTCTTGGGTTTTTTTTCAGTGGAAAACATTTCTTTATATAAAAGTCTTAGGCGAATGTGTTTCATCTATCAGCTTAATAATTGTTTTATATTTTTTCCTGCTATCATGCAGGAAAATAAAGTATGTACACATACTTTAAAGAAAATTGAAAGTCTAAATCAAGACAAATCAAACCAAAATCAAAATCTCCTTATCTCCTTTCCATTCCCAGCTCTGTAGTCTTTCCAAGTAACATCTTTTGATTTAGCACAGATTAAGAATACAACTAGAAAGTCACCTTTCCATGTTTCATGTTTCAATTTACACAAAATTAATTACTTCATCACATGGAATTTATTTTCTTGACCATAAGATTTTATTTCAATGGACAATTCTCTGAAGATCCATCTCTGTTACGACTGTAATACTGAAGGTATAGTCACCTGTATTTTGGGGCCCTTTACAAATTTCACAGTATGTCACGTACCAAAACCCAAGTCCCTGGAGTGTAGGGAGGCTGTTAAATCTAGTTCTGTTCTATCTGCTGTGCTGCCTTCTTGAAGGAAATTTGCTACTTTCAAGCCTGGAGAGCTTCCTTTCAAGTAACAATCTGACAATTTACTACTAACTGTACTCAACTGTTAATGTTGCTTTTGAGGGACCACTAATGGTCTTCCCTCTGTACATCATTCTAAAAACAAAAATCTGGCTTCTCCACTTACATACAGCACAGCTCTTGGTTACTTTCACTGCACTACACTTTCCTGACCTTTTATCAGTTGAAAAGGCTCTGGATCCTTATTACATCTGTACCAAATCTACATAACACCAGGCTCATAGTGCAGTATTTTTGGCTTGCCGGAAGCTGGGGCAGCATATCTACCCCTTAGGTAGTTTACAGTCCGAGTGACAGTACAAGCAGAGAGGCAAACACCTGTTCACTACCTGAAAAATTCCTGGCTGCCCAACAGAAAACACCTATCTCCTGGCAGAAAGACTTCACGTATTCATGCATCTGCTGATGGTCTGGGTGCATGTAATTCTAACTGGTTGACTTGGTTGACTGCATGCTAAAGGTACACCAGTTGCCTGCCAAATGTTGGACCTAACAGATATAACAAACTGCCTTTGTAAAGATAATAGGGGTTGGCACACCTGCTGTGCCTAAATGATTTGCACAATTTTACCATATACTCATTCTTTTTTCCAGCTTGGGTCAATGAGCAGCAATGAAGAGCCAGAGCAAGAGGGGAATATAGAACAATCCTTTGGAGCCAGAATGGGCATCATTTTAGTAGAAAGAGGTCTAGTGTTAGCATGGTTTACAGACTCAGAGAGATGAGATTCCTATGTAACTACCTACTGTGTCAGTCAGGAACACACTGGAATTCTCCGTAGTTGCAAGGTTAAGCTTTATATTAATTGTTTCTGTAGATAAACTGAACTCAGGCTACTCACATAATCCAGTTGAGCCCTTCTAGAAAGATTTTTAGTTCCCTTTGGCTGACAAAAGCTGTATGACCTGGCAGATGCACTACATGGCAGTAGCTAAGCCATACTACAAATAAATGTGAAGTTGAGTATGCTTTAAAATGCAGGTCTGTTCTGTTTCTTCATTCTCCTTGGGCTTAGCAACTGACTGGCCCTGAATCCAAGGGAAGTATAATTCTGAATACAAACAGCAGAAATATTGTTATACAAATTGGAATAGTTTTTCATTAATTTTCTTACCAATCCGAGTGATTCTATTGTAGGAAAGTTCAAGATTTTGGAGATTTATGCAGCCATCTAAGCCACAAACTGATGAAAGATGGTTCTTATTCAGAATCAGAATACAGAGATTTTCTAGATTTTCACAGTCAATTATCTGAATGTTGTTTTCCTGCAATAAAGGAAAATGAGAAGTTTAAATAGCATCTGAAGTGATAGAGCAGAATTAAGTATAAAAATATGGCATGTCATCATTGCTTATTTTTATCCTAAACTTCTAGCTAGGACTAAGGGCATCTCTATTTTTTTTCCATTAGGAAAATAAAACGATGAGTCATAGAAACTGCCTTTTGTGTCCTGCTAGGATAGAACGAAAATATATCTTGAACTTCATTCTGGTTCTGAAAATGCCCAGAAGTTGAAACAAAAGGTGTAAGAAGAAGTTAAGGACAAAGTGGTCTTTCCCATGTACGTTTTCCTAACATCCCAAATCCTGGGAGACTGAACTAAAAACTGTATAGAAACCATCATATTTACTAGACACTAATGAAAACAGCTGTCACTTTGCTGGAATCCTATTTACTAGTAGTGAAAATCTGCATTTAGAGGTATTTTGGTCACAAACATTAACACTGTTCTTGGCTAATGTTCCTCCCCCAAGAGATCTTGCTCTTTTAGTATCCCCGTCCCCAGGCCATTTTAATAATGCTTCCTTGGATTTTTATTTCATTATTTGCTGCCTTTGCTTTTTTCTTCTGGTTTTCACCTGCAGACACTCAAACAAACAAAACTTAAAATTCCTTGCCTTTGAATCAAACTAATTAAGCTAAAGAGTCTAATTCCTATTCCAGAATTAACATGCTGACTAGACCTAGGTGCCACCTTCAGCTGCAGGCAGAGGTGCGTACAGGTTTCCTTTGGAAGCCATAACACTGACTCCTGCCCTTGGACAGCCCCTTCAATTGCATCAGCAAGTTAAAGCAGAGAACTGATATGGCTTAAATGTTAGCTTTTGTATCAACAGAAATGAAAGGCAATAGAAATGAATGTCCAAGGCAAACAGAGGCAGCTGCTTTAGCTATGTGAGAAATGCCCATGAAACAATCTTGGACTGACACAAAAGAGGCTGTTTCTTCATTAAGGCTGAATGGAAGACAACTGTCACATTAGCTGGCACAGCAAAAGCATAAAGTATTATTATTAACAATATATATCATTATTAAATTATTAATAAAGCATACTTAAAAGTATATCTAAAGGTCTTCTCCTTAACTAAATTACCCTGACATATCCCAGGGAGGCAATCCTGTATATTATTTAAAGCATAACATTTTAAAATAAAAAACAAACCACAAAACCAAAACTGTTCTGTAAGAGACAGTATTTCATCTAAAAGAATTCACATATAAATACCAATTTTAGTAAGACTGGCAGTTTAGATTATATTACACTCTTATACTAATACTTTGCTCTCATATTTTGAGGTACCCAAAATTAGCAAATCCCAGAAATTACCTTCTGAATAGATAAGAAAACTGAGAAAAGGACACAGGTATTTCAACTTACCCTATTGCAAGTCTGTAACTACTGGACAGACAACACTCCTTTAACTACAATTATTATCAGCCGACTTCTCTGAATTTAATTTAAAAAAAAAAACAACAAACCAACAAAAGCCCCATACTTTGGAATGAACACCAGTTACTGGGCAAGTAAAAACATTCAAGATTTCTACAAATAATAAGGACATATTAACTTTCCTGCAAACTGGTGTTGTTAAAACACACGAAATAAAAAATGTGAACAGAGTTGTTTCATGTAAATTGTCAAGTTCTGGAACTAAGATGCGTCCATCACAGAGCAAAAGGTCTTTAGTCATTAAATTTACAAGGCCATGTAAGACACTGTGCAGTAGCAAGCACCTAGACATTATGCCTCTAGTGCAACTCACTACATTGTTCCTCGAGAAATTTTGACTAATATTCAAGGTGTGTATTGCAAAGTACTCTTCCTTCTACCTAATTCTGCTTAAGCTGAGCACATGCTCTGGTGAACAGCATCTGCCAGCTCGTGAATCAGTCAGGCTGAGGTAACGAAGATCTACCACTGTGCCATGCCAGCCTAATCCTAGGCTGTTACTATCATGCACTTTTCTTAGTATAGCTTGTTTCATTTGGAGGATGTTGCTTTAGTATGAAGCAAATTGTTATACGCAATGCAAACCATCTAGTATAGCTTTGTTCAGATTTGGGAGTATTTTCTTGATATTCCTATGCTCTTAAGGCACTAGAAGTTATATATTCAGTTGGATGTAACCGCATAATCACCTAAGCAGCAAAACTGGCAGTTCTCCCCAGGTTATAAAAAAGAATCAAATGTGATTGGTACCTCCACATTGATATACTTCAGGTCTTTGCAGCTACTTAATCCTTCCAGCGCAACTAGTCCACAGCGCCTCAGAGTCAAAACTTGAAGATTTGAACACACGGATAATGTTGAGAGGCTACAAGCTGGCAAATCTTCGAGTGTAAGTGTTGTGATCTACAGGCATTTAGTGATAAATAAAATTGATTGTTTGTATATTGAACATTCATTGCACAATGTCACATTAGGATTATTTTCTTTAAAAAGAAAAAGAGACAAAACATACAGTCTACTAACACTTTAGAAAATGCAAGCAACTAATGTTAATACTTTCATACAGAAAAGGATGGCAATGATGGGTTTGATCTGTTAAATGGGAGAAGCTATCATGAAAACAACGTTTGATCTTAACATCCACTTTAAAATAAATAGAACCAATACTTTGATAATGATATTGAATTTGAATGAATGGAAGATTAATACTAAGCAAAGCAATTAATAGTGTGACTTGTTTCCTGTCACACCAGCATAAATGACAAGTGAGTGAGTGGGCAAGAACACACAAAAATAGCACAGACTAAAAGTGTATGCAGTCTAGCAAGTCATCTCGAAGTGGATACCAAGATGAGAGCAAGCATACAGTGATAACTTAGAAAGTGGCAAGAAAAGTGCTGGGACCAAAGAGATGGTCTTTATGGCAAAACACCATCTATAAGCTGATCAGCAATGTCCTGCTTCTGGAAGAGACTAGTCTTCTCAAAAACTCTGAAGGGGCTAGGTAAGCAGGAGCTGAAACGACGACCCTCACACAAAGGCAAACCCATGTTAATGTAGCAGAAAATACGAGCTAGGAGCTCTTGCCTTTTACAGGCTTTAGATACTATCAATCATCTGAAGACTAATACCACATCAGTCTGCTCCACAATGCTCACAGGAATCCAAGTCATTCTCAGTGCCCTTATTCTGCCCTTGTGCAGAGGAACTCTGAGATCTGCATCCTGCTTAATGACAATCTCCTCTTCTGAAACAGCATTTTGCTGACATACCAAATTAAAAAAAAAAAAAAGAAAAAAAAAGAAAAAAAAAGAAAAAGTGATGGTATGGCTTCCCATTTCGTTCTAAATCTTCTGTATAGTTACCTGCTGCAAAGTACTCCAAGGGCCACTATGAATTATCCTTTGTGCACTTAATGGAGGCATCTTGCTAACTGAACTTTTCCTTGGTCGTTTTGTTATAGCTGCTTGCTTTCTTTGGTTTTCTTCATATGTTTTAGACCAAGACTTACATGTGTTCATCCAGTTTATTCTCTTCTTTTCAATATCATCAGGAAGAATTACTCTACTGGAAGACTCAGCTAAATCTTGAATTCTGTCCCAGGTCTCTCCAGCTTCCTTGTTAGCACCTTCCATTAGAAACACAGATTTCTTCATTGTTTCAGACTGAGAAAATTGATCTTTGACTTCTCTGTTACTAGCATTTGGCTGGAAATTTGGTGGGCTGCTGCATATATTTGCCTTATTTTCTACCATGTCATTAACTCCACAATTAACAGATTCATCCTTTGAAGTATGACTATTTGGAGCTTTATTAAGATCTCTGGTTTGGCAGTAATTTTCTTTTACATGTGTTACTGAATCCATGTATATGTTCTCATTATTTACTTGAGAAGTGTGTTCCTTCTCAGACCGTAGCATATTTGGTGTTGGTGTCAAATTTTGTTCTCCTGGAATCATCCAATTATTTGTTTCATCCATCATTTCAGTCTGTTTTACTTTTGGTTTCTTTACTTGCTTATTTAGTTCCTCCTTTTGTTCTTTTATTACTTTTATATTTTCTGTCTGCTTATCCTTTTTTATATTTTCTTTGTTGTCTTCTCCACTTTCACTCATCTCAGCTTTTGTTCTTGTTTCTCCTAGTTTCCTCTGTTCTTCTATTTGCAGTTGTTTTTCAAGTCTCGGGATTTCTTTCTTTCTCTTATATTCCTCATGCCTCCTAGCTTGTTTTAAACATTCCTGTCTTTCAAGTTCTTCTTGTCTCTTTTTTTCCTCTTCTTTCTTTTGCCTATTTTCTTCCATATGCCTCTTCACCTTTTCCTCACTTTCTTTCATCTCTCTCTCTATTTCTTCTACTATTTTCTGCTTCTTTTTTATTTCCTCTTTCCATTCTTTTAAAATGGGAGCATATTTTTTACGGACTAAAAATGATCTAAATCTAGCTTGGATTTTCACAGCTGCTGTGTTCTGTTTTTCTGCCAAGTGTTGTCTTTCTTTTTCTTTCTGCTCTTCCAAGACCTTTTTCTCCTCTTCCATTTGCAACTGCAGCTTTATGATCAATTCCTAGGCCAAAACAATTAGGATAGACTTAACCACTTTTAAAATAGGACAGGTGTTGGCACATATTTATCATTAATAAACAGAATCTGGTGTATTAACTGTTTCACAACATATTTATTTTCAAATACATGATAGTAACCTGACAGTCTTTCGACAAATGCTCATTGTACAACCTTACCTCATGTTGCACCATTTTTTCTCTCCAAGCTTTCTTTTCTTTCTGTAATTCATCTTTTATTGCAGTTTGGTGTTTCTGCACAACAAATTAACTTAAATGAATATTGTACAAAAGCCAGAACATCACAAAACACCCTGTCTCCAACCCCCCCAATCTTCTTGACTTTCCAACAGTCCACTTTCATGAATGCCTGAATTAAAATGAAAAACTGAGCTGTGCAAGGATCAAAATAAACAGTTGTATTGGTAATGCAGATTTGGTCATGTACTGAAAGATAATATCTTCACTCAGCATCTTGGTACTGACCCCTCTCCAAATTCTGTACTACTATTGCAGATAAAAACTATGCTTATGAAACAACCATTCAAAGTAGATAATAGAAAAATAACAGAAACAAACACTCTGAAAGTAGCATGAACAGTCTCCCTTTAACTGCACTGGTATGTTACTGATAGTCTTAAAATCTTTCAAACAGTAATTTGATTCAGTTCTATAAAGCTAAAGAATTTTTTTTTTTTCACTGAAATTGTTTCTCAAGGGAAAATGAATGTCTATTTTCTCACTATTTGCAAATAAACAGTATTTCCCTCCTTGCCTAAAATATTCACAATCAGAAAAAAAAAATCCAAATTATTTGGAATTACCTCTGACTGAAAATTAGCAGAGAGTAAGCACCTAAAAAACAGAGGCTGTCCCAGAACCACATAACTCCTGGTGGAAACAAGATAAATCAGTATCAGCCAAATCAAATATACAGCAGGATATGAAGGAACCAGTGTAAACAAACTAGTACTTCCAACTTGGAGCATAAAGTTTCTCAGGTGCCTAAGCACTGTTTTTCATCCGTGTTCAGAAGCGTGCTATTCAGACAATAGCAAGACTAGACATCTAGGTCCTTCTGTAACGGGGGAAGTTAGTCTCCATCTCTCGCCTCTACAAAGAGTGTGCTAGCATAGCACTACCAAAGTGTCTAAATGGGGACGTGCCCCACCTTGTCTAGCAAAAGAAAGCCATTCTACATCCAAAAATGATTTGTGACATCAAAGAGCAGAGGAAGCCTAATTAATTTTGTGGACTTTTGAAAAGGGAGCTATAACAGACACTGAACTGGCCTTCAGAGATCAAAGGTCTTTTCACTTACTAAGCCCTTCCTTAATTTTGGTGACTTGAATTACTTTGCTGGGGCCAAAATGCTCACCTCTTCAGAAAGCTACAAATTAGTTAACTGAAAATGCAGTGTTAAATTGCCTCTCAAAACCCAAACACTTAGGCTAAATAATAAAATATTGTGGCCTCACAAGTATAATGTCTGAGGGTTACATCTCTTTCGTGGAGAGCTATCAAATTTTACCCTTCAGTATGTACCACATACTATAGCAAAACATGACTAGATACTCTGAGAATGCAACCACTCAACATGTGGAGTCATGTTCTGTTGTGGCAGAACTCAGTAGATGATGCCTGACTCAGTTTCCCACATACAGACAAGAAAAGGGAGTATCGTAACTTTTACCTAGATGAAGCACAGCACCAGTATTTCTTAACTGAATTACTTTGGTTCAGATTACTTCACCTATGATTTTTCATCTAAAGATGAAATTGGGGTGGGAGGTCCAAAGTGAGTGAGTATTTTCTATTAAGGCACAGTGACCATTTTTCATTTGTGAGTAATTTAGCACAACTTTCATTTCTGGTACTATGGCTGGTGTCATAATATAAAAGCTTAGTAAGGACAAAGTCTAAATAATAATTTAACATTTAGCATAGCAAATTCATTCACTGTTGATCAAAGCAGTAAATACATAAAACTGAATGGATCGTTCTTAAATATGTCTTATTCACTTCGGTATCACAAGTAGACAGAGTTTAGAACACACACAGTTTGGAACAGTACTCTCTTTTTCACATTAGATCCTGAATTCAGATAGTCTAGATGTGAACAAATTGGCTTCAATTTCATTTATTACCTTATGAAGAAGCTCTAGCTTCTTTCTTTCGGCCTCAAATTCCTCCAGACGCTGCACCCTTCTTGCATGTTCCTCTTCATCCTGTTTTTTCTGTGCTTCCCTCTCAGCTTTCCACTTCTTTCTCTTTTCATCTTCAACCTCCTTTTGTCTTTTCTCCCACTGCTCAAATTCTTGTCTACACTTTTCTTCTACTTCACGATGAGTAAGGCTTATGCTCATTTCAACATCAGCTACAAATTCATAATTAACAATGCAAACCTTTTATTTAATTTCCTAATAAGCACTGAGGGACATTAAACAGTCTTAAAGTATTGTCAAGAAAAGGATTCTGTGCTAATACTGCTAGCAGTATATATCCCCAGAGAATCAGAACCACAGTGCAAGTCTTTTCTATCAGAGATGTCTTATCATGATGCCCACTCACTAACTCTGCTACAATCATCCTTATTCTACCAATGTATATTTCAGGATTACACTTTAGCTTCAGGATGAATGTCTTTTTTAGCTATCAGCAGAGGTTTTATAATTGATGCACTCCACCCCAAAACATGCAAAGGCCATGGAGAAAGGACATGTTCCCAGTCAACGTGACTATAAAAAAATAAAAGAAGTTGTGGCCAAAGCACAACCTGCTTAGTGCCTCCAATCCGGCTTCCATTTTTATTCGTAATTATTTAAACAATTTTTTGGTAGTATTTTTTGAAACAAATTTCCATCAAGACATTAAAGACTAGCATAATTTTGTGATCCTGAAATGAGATAAAAGCACAGGCATTTGCTCATTCATCCAAATCGTGGAGTATCAAAATCTACCGCATACTGTAACATGTAATTCTTTACAAAGAATGTTATGATACTCATGAAAACAGAAAAGCAGTAAGTAGTGATATGACACTAAAGATCAACTCAACAAAACAACTGATGCATTTGCTTACCTGTAACAAAATGGTCATCAATGATCACTTCATCACTGGTGGACTGACTATTAGAACTAGCCATTGCAGCAACGTGCAAGTCTTCATTTTCCATTTCAAATAGTACCTAATATTTTTAATATTGTAATTAACAAACAAGAAACAAAAAAACAAAATTTAAAAGTAGAACATTACAAAAATATTCCAGAACAACTATAAGCTTTTCAAGATATAACATGCACAGTAATACAAAACTTACTAGTGACTGGAACCCTTAGACACTGAATAATGCAAATGTAACAGTCAAAATATTGTTTACTAGAGTAAATAAATATTGGAGCATTTCCCAATATACATAATATTTCTATGTGGTTTTTTAATATGCTTTACATTTTTACTTGGAAAAATGAATTTTTTGCACTTGAGATTTGTTTTACTTTTTGTGGAACTAAACACTATATTTATGCACTAATACTGTTATGCACATAGCTGAAGAACCAGTTACACAGTAAATTTTTAAGAAGTTTATTTGAAAATAATGCTATGGGCACAAAGATTGCTATATTTCTTTCGTTGTTCTTTACTGGCAAGAAGTAATCTATTCCTGCTCATTTATCATCTGTTCATCACATGCTTGGGGCATATATTAATATTTGTAATGCAGCTGAAGTCACATAAAGTAATTGTGCTGTTCTAAACAATGGTCTTCTGAGAACAAAAAATCATATTTGCAAAAGCGTTCACTAATAAAAGCCAGGGGACAAATTAAAAGTGATTAAATTAGAAAAACATAAACCTGTATTAAAGAACTTCAGCAAGTTATTCAGTCAAATCCTATGAAAACATAAAAGAACTCAGGTTCACAACTCTTGATTTGTCTTTGAAAGTTACAGACATGATTATGTTTACATTTTCTATAAAATAATGGAATTTATTAGGACCAAGATTAATAGTAGCACGTCTTCCTGATCATCATAAAAAGAGTAAGAATAGAGAAGTTTAAAAGTGTTATGATACTATTGAGATAATATTCTGCAAATAATTAACAACAAAGGATTATTCGTTATTAATCCAATAAAGGATTAATTTTGTTGATTTTCGTGCTCAGCATCTCAACTACTTATACAGAGAATTTATTCCTAATTTTAAAACTTACAGAGATGGCATAATACAGCCGATGTCCTAGTTCTAAAGAATGGCATATACAAACTTGTCTTAATACTTTGTGGACAGTCTGACAGAAACAAAATAGAACACATCTATAGTCCTTAGGAGGCCAACAAAGCAAGTGTAAGCTATCTAGATTACTAAATAGAATTTTGTTCACTATAAATACTGTTTGTATAGAAGATACCCTTTTTTTAAATTGTTGTGGATCTTCATTATATTCAGAAGTCAATTCTGCCAAGTAATCTGAAGCATGGCAAGAAACTACTCCACAAGTGTTACCTAAAGAAGAAATAAATATATAATTTAGTACACAGAGAGAAAATCCCTTATCAGTAGTTGGTTCTGCTCTATACTGCTTAGCTACTGCATTTCTTCAAACTAAAATAAAGATTTTTTTTTCCTTTAAAACTTTTAAAAACCACCACCCCCCCAATTTTACTCAAATAAATATGGGAGTCATTTATCTACATTAAAAGCAGCAATATGGGTAACTGGAGCACATACAATGATATCATAGGAATCCAGTGACAGCAAACATAAAAGAGAATTCCACAGCACAGAACACAGTAGAACATTCTCTGTGTAGAAAAATACAGTAGGACTTGTATCATATGGATCAAAAACTGACAAAGAACTACAAAAATAATGAAAAAGAGCAAGTGTCCATTATAAAAGAAACCTTCCTCAAATATCAACATGTATAGACAATATTGAACTTCTGTTCACAAAGCCCATTGCACTAAATAAGCGTGAAACACAAATCTATCTGGACTTCTGTAAGGCCTTTCACATGGTCCCCCATGACATCCTTCTCTCTAAACTGGTGAGACAAGAATTTGGCAGGTGGACTGTTCAGTGGATAAGGAGTTGGTTCAATAGTCCCATCCAGAGGGTAGTGGTCAACAGATTGAAGTCCAGATGGAGATCGGTGATAAGTGGTGTCCCTCAGGGGTACGTACTGGGACCAGTACTCTTTAGTATCTTCATCAACGAAATAGACAGCAGGACTACATGCACCCTCAGCAAGTTTGCAGATGCCAATAAGCTGAGTAGTGTGGTTGACACTCCTGATGGACGAGAGGCCATGCAGAGGGACCTGGATAAGCTTGAGAAGTGGGTCTGTGTGAATCTCATGAGGTTCAACAAGACCAAGTGCAAGGTCCTGCACCTGGGTTGGAGCAACCCCCAGTATCAACACAGGCTGGGGGATGAAGGGATTGAAAGCAGCCCTGCCAAGAAGGACTTGGGGGTGCGGGTGGATGAAAAGCTGGATATGAGCCAACAATGTGCAGTCACAGCCCAGAAAACCAACTGTATCCTGGGCTGCATCAAAAGAAGTGTGGCCAGCAGGTGGAGGGAGGTGATTCTCCCCCTCTACACTGGTGAGACTCCACGAGCAGTGCTGTGTCCAGCTCTGGAGCCCCCAACACAAGAAAGACATGGAGCTGTCGAAGCAAGTCCAGAGAAAGACCACAAAAATGACCAGGGAGCTGGAGCACATCTCCTATAAGGAAAGGCTGAGAGATTTAGGGGTTGTTGAGCCTGGAGAAGAGAAGGCTTCGGGGAGACCTTATTGCAACCTTCCAGTACTTAAAGGGAGCCTATAAGAAAGATGGGGACAATTTTTTTTAGAAGGGTCTGTTGCGATAGGACAAAGAGTAATGGTTTTAGACTAAGAAGGTAGGCTTAGGCTAGGTATAAGGAAGACATTTTTTACAATGAGGGTGGTGAAACACTGGAAGAGGTTGCCCAGAGAGGTGGTAGAAGCCCCATCCCTGGAAACATTAAAGGAGAGGTTGGATGGGGGTCTGAGCCACCTGATCTAGCTAAAGATGTCCCTGCTCACTGCAGGGGGGGGTTGGACTAGATGAGCTTTAAAGGTACCTTCCAACCCAAACTATTCTATGATTCTGTGAAGCGGAAAACTAGAACAGAACAGACAATGCCAGCTCTCTGGCATATAAACGATGAGCTTGACTCCAGTCACACAACAGACACAGCAATATTGTTCCTAATTACAAGGTCATTTCATTTAACGCTAGCTTGGATATCTCTAAAGACAGGCTTTAAAATATATCCTATAGAGTTCAATTGTATCTGAACTCTCAGCTTCAGCTCCTAGTGACTTCATTTTAAATTTTCATGAAGAGTCTGGCCTAGGCCCTCTTTCACAGAATGATCCTGCAACTTGCCTTTATCAAATGTTTAGCATCAGATTAATTTTTAGAAAAACTGAATTCATATTCAGATGTTAATCCTAGAAGACAGCATTGCATGATTTTATTCGTAAAGATTTTCTGCATGCATCCCAAAAGCTGATGCAATAGCTTTCACTGCTCACTTTACTTAAAGGTTTGCACTTTTTTACTGATGATTGTTAGTCTAACTTCCACTGGCAATATGAGGTGCATAAATATTTTAACTGTGATCCCTGCTTACTTGTAGTTTCTTCATCTTCTAAGTCTTGCAGTATAAGCTTTTCAGCATTTTGATTTCCACTCTTTTTAAAGTTTAAATAGGAGAGAATTGATTCTGGCAAGTCATCTGAAATCTAGAAAAACATGACATTTGACATAAATTCTACATTTTCACCTCACAGCCATGACTAGAGGTTGACATGCAAGAATAAAGACTAATTTTGCCTTCACCCATGAAGCACGGATAGAGCAACTGCTACCAAAATTGTTCCAAATTCCTACACTCTTGCCACTGTCTTATCACCCACTGAACAACTGATAATTCTCATTCATAATTACATTTTAATTAAGTTTTGATTGGAACACATTTTAGGAACTTACCTTCCACTATCTTCAGAAATATGTTTCAATTAATACTTCTTTATAATTGTGTTGGACCAAGAAATTAAGGAAAAGGTTAACACAAAAACTAAGAAATATCTATGATGCATGGGATCTTTCTTAAAAATGTTCAGACTCTTTAAAAAACAAATTAATTTTAAATTTACTAATGTTTAAAGTATGCATGTAAATCAGATGCTTCGATTTTCTTTACTATATAGACACTTTCTACTCAAAAGACTGATTTTTACCACAAGGATTTGGGAAAATGGACTGCCTTCTCTCAGATGTGTAAATTGTGGTAAACATCGCTGGCATTCAGCATGTGAGTGCACAAATAACCACCACTGATGCCTTTGCCTATCTTTATGACATATCATCTACCCTAATATCCTATAGACCAATCCTTTTGCTACAAGTCTGAAAGATTAAAATAACTGAAAAGGACCAAAATAACTGATTCAATTTCAGAGGAAAATCTTTCCCGAAAATAAGAAGTCATGCAAAAAAGAGGACTTGAAGCACCGGTATATATGAAACTAGTATCAGGAAGTCATCAAACATAAGACAGTCTCTTGTAAGATTTAAACACAGATTTAAATGAAGAATCATTGGTTTATTTATCCAGACTTAAACTATCTCATTAGCTTTAACAAAATCTTCCAGCTTCAGAAGATTCAAAACCAAAACATTATCTACAAGTCTGATTTTCTCACTTATGCAGAATGCTTCTGATAGGCATCTCTTTTATTGTCTTGACACCATTGGAGGTTATATTTTTCCATGAAGCAATAATATTGAGGCTACTTTAAAGAAGAAATCTTCAGGTTAGGTATGTCAGGAAAAAGATCATTCATGAGATAGGCTTTCCAGTGCCCATACAACTTTCAAGCAGACATAGAAGCAGTTTTATTCCATTGAATACTTACTGTTTCACTGTCACTCAAAGGTTCATCTGACACCTCTGTGTCAGGATCATCTGCTTCAAAGGAAGAAACACTGATTTTTCTTAATTCAATTTCTATTTCTTTTTCAATTTCTTTGATATCTTCTGACATTCTACTTCCCACAGCGTCTTATCTGCTTTCAAAGCTACACAAAGAAAATATTAACTTTCAGCACTGCATGAACTGAAATAAAGAAGGTGCTCATTTAGCATGTTTATTCAGATGTATTTACTGAACAGTTGGCTTAAAACGTGAAAAGGAACAGGAAAAATTTGTTCTGACACCTCCCTCCATACTAACAAGCAAAAAATCAGCAAAACGATAGTTTGTGAGAAGAGAATCAATATCTCCCCAGTCTACCCCTCTCTATTTTGCAAATATTACCGAATTTGAATATCAAAAACCTTTGCCTGCTCTCTACTTCTTGTGGACAATACCAGTGCTAGGACCTAAGCCTCACAAGGTTTTTTTCCCAGTCTTAATAACTGCAAAGGGGAAAAAAAAAAAAAAGCTTCAAACAATAAATACATATTAACAACTACAAAATAAGATTAAGAATCCAGAAAGCACTCGATGAAGTTGTGCTTCATACAGATACAGAGAGAGCAGTAACAAATGGCCAAACCCACACAAGCACAAGACTTGTAGATGGATCCAGGCAGGAGGGGAAGGGGTCCCTCATCATTCCCCCTCCCTCCGCAGCCCGCGCCCCTCTCCCCACCGCTGGCCCCAACGAGGGGGCAGGGGAGACAGCCCAGATCGGTTCCATCAGAGGCAGCGAGCAGCTCCTGCTCCCTCGCCGGCTCCTGGAAGAGGAGAACGGACACGCTGAGCGCACCTCAGCCATGAAGGCGCGAAGCAGGTCCTCGCTGAGAGAAACTACACCGCCCAGAGGGCATAGCGGCGAGGAGGCCGCCCTCCCACCGCCATTTCCCGGAAAGACGGCGGGGCCGCCCCGTTGTATGCTGGGAGCTGCAGTCCGCCCCTCAGGGCACTCATAGGCCTGCGGTCTCCGCCGTCTACTCCCTGTAGCTACTCACT